ATATGTATATGTATATGTATGTATATATATATATATATATATATAATATATATATATATATATATATATATATGTGTGTGTGTGTGTGTGTGTGTGTGTGTGTGTGTGTGTGTGTGTGTGTGTGTGTGTGTGTGTGTGTGTACATATATATACATACATATATATATATATATATAATATATATATATATATATATATATATATATATATATATATATATATATATATATATATATACATACATAGATATCTATACATACATACATATATGCATATATATATATATATATAATATATATATATATATATACATATATATATATATATTATACATATACACACATACTTATGTGTGTGTGTACACACACACACACACACACACACACACACACACACACACACACACACACACACACACACACACACATGTATATATATTATATATATATATATATATATATATATATATATATATATATATATATATATATATATGTATATATATGTATATATATATATATATAAATATATATTATACATATACACACATACTTATGTATGTGTGTGTGTGTGTGTGTGTGTGTGTGTGTGTGTGTGTGTGTGTGTGTGTGTGTGTGTGTGTGTGTGTGTGTGTGTGTGTTTAAAAATATAATGTGTTAATGGCACAAACTGTCAATATGTACATCCATGTAAAAGTATGCGTCTGCAAAAACGGATGAGTGTATATGGAAACATTTAAAATAAAAAAATACATATAGTTTTAGAAGTTAGATATAAGTTAGATTTACATTGAAAGGAAAGCACTTAATTCTGTTGCGAAAATGCTTTTTGAATTATTCAAAGTTATATACATATATCATATTTTATCCATACATATATAGATATATGTATGTATGTATGTATGTATATGTACATGCATATGCATATGCATATGCATATATATATATATATATATATATATATATATATATATATATATATATATATATATGTATATATATATTTATATATATATATATATATATGTATATATATATATATATATATATATATATATATATATATATATATATTATATATATATACATGTATATGTATATGTACATATATGTATATATATGTATATATATATATATATATATATATATTATATATATATATATATATATATATATATATATATATATATATATATATATACATATACATGCAGAGGCACTAGACATGTATATGTATAGAACGTCCTTGAGTGCAGAAACGAACATGCAAAAGCATAGTTACCTTGTACATGCCGGACACAGTCTGGAAGCCTGAGCCCTTCGCCCTCTTGCCGCCTGCAGGGAGAATACAAGGCGATACTCATCTGACTCGCGCAAGCTTAAACTCGACTAAAACACTAACATCCTGACTAGCTTTTGGGACAGTAGAGTAAGCATTAAGGCGGTTATCGTTAGGATTATTTTTATTAGTGGTATCGCTTCCGTAGTGTTGTTATTGTCGAGCTGAGGTGGACACGTGACCGGGAGACGAGGGACAGAAAACGGTGAACATCCCACGAAAAGAAAAAAAACAGGACATTTTTTGCTTCTGCTTTTCATCACTAGCTTAATTTCTTTTGAACATGGCTCGTGTGTATCTAAGGGACGCCGACAGTAAGCCGAAGCGAGACCCACTGCTAAGAGACACTCTCTCATCTAATCAAAGAGAGGACACAGAGAAAGGGAAATATTTACCCTGTACATCCCGGACACTGTGAGGAAACCAGAACCTTTGGCGCGTTTACCACCTGCCGGGTAGACAAGATCCTCTGAATCCGTTATTTGGGAAGAGAGATCAAGGCATTCTCCTCTTTTGGGGTTATTCCCTGCTGCTGTGGAGGAGAGTTCCTGGTTCGAGGCTAGGGGAGGGGCAGAGGAAGAAGGGGAGGGGGGTTGTGGGGCAGACCATGCACCCACCATGCTGGCTTGCAGATATTGCAAAATAAAATAGACCTCCTCTGTCATTTTGGTAGGACGGCTCCATGCAGGGGTATAAAAAAACAAGAAACAGAAAGGAAAACATTAGGTACAACTTTTACAAGCATGTATGAAAATGTCTCTTCATTTGTTGTTACCTATAAACATCATATCTTAATATTAAAGACAAAGGATGGAGAAAAAATGCTCTAAAAATACTTCATAAAACCGGCAAAAATTATTTCCGGTCTAAATACTGGATGCAAAAAACAGAAGCTATGATACTCCTCTTTAAGTCATTATATATACTCAAGAGAATAAGATAAAATGTTATTATATTAGTAAACAAACAAAATAAAAAAAGCATAAAAAAGATTCTACTAGACTATGTGCTAAATATGCATGACCCTTGTTTATAATTTCTGTAAAGGCACTAATTCTAAACAGTTCGATTATCGAAGGCTACGGAAAGAAAGAAAAAAAACATATGCGATCATGAAAACTAAAACTAAAAAAATATAAATAAAGAATCCTTAACCCAAAAGCCACTTTATAAATCTACAACGTCAAAAAATAAACCTTTCTGCTTATGATTAAACTTTCTCTGACCGCTCTAATTTTAGATCGTCTCTAAGGCCTTGTGGACAGGTAGGCAGTTGGCGGACTCTTTACCAGGCCGGAATCGTACTCTGCGGGAGAGAGAAGTTATTCTTTAATAATGGTTTATATGATTATAGAGTGTTTTTTGTGCTTCTGTGTGTGAGACACGGAGTCAATTAGACGGATAGTTCATTCCTAAGTTCTCCACATGCGTTAGATAATGTGTAGGAAACATTTATTGACTCATTGGGGTTCTTTTGATCCGAACGAGAGGAAACAGCATTGTATGCATCTTAGAGGTAAAAATAATGAATGATGATGATGCAATGATGTCTTCAGAATCTTATACTCTCTTCAATAACTCCAAATAACGTTTACCCAACTTTACACCTCTTAACAACCCTAACGAAAACAACACTTTAGAACCCTTCTGAAAACTTGTAACCTAGACGAGTTCACGGAAGGACCCAAGAGCCCATAGGAAAACGAGCGTACTACCACCCTTGCCACCGGTATCGGCTGCTCCCGACTGCCCGGGGTGGTCGGCGAAGATCTCGACGGCCAGCTGGTTGCTCGACTTCTTGATCTGGTCGACCACGGTGTCGTTGAGCGGGTCCTTGTTCTTCTCGAGCCAGCCGGTGAGGTTGTAGGGGACGGTGCCGGCGTAGTGGACGATGGCGAAGTGGGCCTCGGCTTGGCCCGGCTTGGGAGGCTTCGGCTTGATGAAGTTGGGAGACTTACCCAAGTGGTTAGTCTTCAGCTTCTCCTCGAAGGACTTGTCTGTAGCCTTAGGGAACATAGACTCCTCTTCAAGGATGGAGAGGATACCTAGAGGCTATGGGTGAAGCGGAAGAAGGCGCCGCATTAGCATGGGGTTAGAAGAGAATTGGGTTCATATCTTCAATAAGTCATTTGTCTTTGGCAGGTTTCCCCCCGCTGTTCTGGGATGAATTTTTAATGCAGCATCTTTACAAAAAGGATCAAGGCTTACTTACCTGGCTCACAGCAAAAACAAAGTATAAAATATATTCAGGAAGATGTCTGGTGAAATAAAGAAATAGCGGAGAGGTATATAGCAGAAGTAAATCAGAAAATGTGTTAGAATATTTACAAGAAGCCTACTGTTTACGGAACATTTTATATAAAGGAAATCGAGAGGGGTGAGGGAACATTCAGTGCCAATCTATGCTGTGTAATTTTCCCCACACTTTGTTTCTCTTTGAATGAAGCCAAAGTAATGAAGAGAAAGCATTGCCACGAGTGCGTATATGAGCAAGGTAACAGACAACACAGAGGGAGACACAGAGCGCTGGTCATATGGAGACTGAGGCAGGGTGCGTGGAATGACAAGACAGGAAGAAAGGACACTGAAACTGCTTCGTAAAATGGGAGAGAACAGTCCCTGCTACTCGCACGGAGAGGTGTATCATGACACGATCGGCATCAGTCAGCCCATAGCTTCGACGTCCTGACATCAGCGTCCGTCCAAGATATCACCTCGGCCCCGCATGCCACAGAGCTGTCTCACAGAACGACACACAAAGGAAAGCAAGCGAAGGCCTCTCTAGCTGTTATGTCGTAGAGGTTACCTTTTCAATGAGGTCAATACAAGCCTGGAGGTCAAGACCAAAGTCAATGAAGGTCCATTCAATTCCCTCCCGTTTGTATTCCTCTTGTTCCAGGACAAACATATGGTGGTTGAAGAATTGTTGCAGTTTCTCGTTTGTAAAATTGATACACAGCTGTTCAAAACTGTTGAACTGGGGATAGGAAGAGGTACCACACATCAGTAATTGAATGAGAAACATGAATTAGGAGTGACAATGTCGCTAGGAACACAGGTCGTCATCTGGCATGTTCTGCGACAGTGGACAGGGAAGAGACAGAGAGATCACAGACAAAAACAGACAGCAAAGAAATTCACAGGTCAGGGATGGCGTCTCGGTAACCTGTTGAACCTGTGTATTTTGATTTTTTCTCTGACGGTGAACTGAACAGGGGGTTCGGAATCGACAACATAGAAACTAAGGCTGGACGGAAAGGGTCCGGTTCGTCTTAGAGAGGACCCGACGACATCTACGTTCGATTGGCACTATCGTGTTACCTTCTCAATGAGCTCAATGCAGGCCTGCAGGTCTAGACCAAAGTCAATGAAAGTCCAGTTAATGCCCTCTCGCTTGTACTCCTCTTGCTCGAGGACAAACATGTGGTGGTTGAAGAACTGTTGCAGCTTTTCGTTGGTGAAATTGATGCAAAGCTGCTCGAAGCCATTAAACTGGAAGGGTTGCAATCGGGGGGAGGTGTTGGTATTAAAAGGAAATAAGAAGAAAAAAAGAACATCTGTTAAGTCCTTCGGACCAAGTCACAGTTGGCCGACGGGAGGTTCGTGCTCGGGCTAAAAACTTCAGAAAACAAACAAACAAAAATGGGACCTTATTCCTTGTA